GTACATGACACTGTACACTGTACTCTACAGTACTTCTTTCTGCTGAGATCTACACACAATTGACAAAACTGTTACTGATTTATTACCAAGATGGATAAAGATGGATAAATAAAGCTTATTGTTAATTATTAATTAAAATAATTTATCACTGTGTATGCATTGCGGACCTATAGTGTTCGATTTTCTCTGCACCCACTCTGGGCCTATCTTACCAGGTTATTAATTTACCCAGTTATTCACAATCTTATGATTTTTCTCTTTAACTTTTGTTGTCATCTTACAGGCCTCCTTAACTGCTATGGATCAGCTAGGCAGACAAGCCATTCATTTAGCTGCTCACGCTGGTTGTAACAAGTCACTGGAGTACATCATTACACGACATGGTATGAATGTCAATGTGTGCACTGGAAAATCCAAAATGGCCCCTCTACATCTAGCAGCTAAGGTACAGGGACTGACTAGATTTTGTTGACCCACACATGTATATACCCTAATAGCTACAAAGAGTACATTCTAAATAGTACATAATTATTAATGTGTATACTATGTATCTCCATAAAGAACTGCTTATAATTGAGACTCAAGACGTTTACTCATGGTTCACTTCTTGCCTCAGATCCTGTCCTGCTTAAGACTAAATAAACTTGATTCAGTTCTGAATTAAATTCTTACATTGTATGTTAAATCTGAAGTAGATTGTGCACTATACCTAGACAAGGTGTGATGTGACATTCAATCAAAGATTTGTGTACATTGTTGTATGAAATTGCTGCTCTTTCTAGGTCTCTGAGGCCCCTTGCTCATTGCTACTAGTGTCTCATAGTTTTGATTAACTTGAATGATAATCATGAAAAGTTTTTTTTTTTTTTTTCAATTTTATGTTTACAGGAAGGTTATGCAGAAACTGTCCAGTTTTTGATATCCAAAGGGGCATCCATAAATACCCAAGACAAAAACGGAAGAACAGGTATTTTATAACCTTATTAATTGTTGTTGTCTGCTTATTTGTTTTGTCTGTTTGTTTGGTGGCACCCTGGTCCCAAAGGTTTTATTTTTTCGCAATAGAAAAGAGAAAACCTCTTGAACCAAATTTGATTTTGTGGACCATAGGCAGTCATGGTTGCACACTGAACCATGTGGGGGACTTCCATATGAAAAAGTCGGGCATGCCCGTCTCGCTTAGGAGTAGAAATTACAGATTCTGGTCTCACTCAGGGTGTTCATGATGAAATGCCAGTGTTTTTAGCTGTCAAAGAAATAAAAATAAAAAACACCCTTATTTCCGTTTTTAGGCCTGATTTCCACGAGTTTCTCGAGTCTGGTCTACTAGCAGGAGCTGCTTTCTTAAACAGTCGCTGGTGATTAATCAAGCCTATTCTGTTTTAAGTGGTATATTTAAGGGTCAAATAAAGCTTAAGCCACACCCAGATGGGTCTCCTTTAGGGATTTAATTCAAATTTTCCGACAAGCGTCCCCGACCTTTTCATATGGGAGGCCCCTCCCCCTCCACCCACCCGCGGGTATATGACTAATACGTCATGAAAAGGCTTTATCAGGCCACTTCCTGAGACAGAGGCAAAAAGCAACTCGATATTGTCAATAGCAAACCCCTTGAATAAGTTTTTTGGTCTTTCCCTAGCTCTACACCTGAGCTCAGCTGCCGGACATGACAATTGTGTACATATTATATTACGCTTACATAACGCCGATAGCAGCCTCAGGGACTGTTCAGGACAGACAGCGCAGGACCTCGCTCTCAAGCCTGCAGTCCAACGAATATTCGAATCCGTAGCACCGTGACTGCATCTGTTTATCACCATGTGGCTGCGTGACCGGCGTCACGCACTCTCCTCACGGCTCCCGTCAGTGCACAAATTCCTCTTTGTGTGATATACAAGCGAGAAGACGTCAAAAGTGAGCTGCACTTTGTCGAGGAAATAAGCCTGAGATCAAAAACAAGGAGCATGTTCGATATTACCTCGTGTATCACGTGTTGTTGAAAAAGGCGTCATCTATCACGTGCAGAGAACGCTTTGAAATGGTTTCGTGATTAAACCTTTGTTGGTTAACTTAAGGTGGCTCCATAGGGTAATCATTTGTGGCGTTGCGCGCGCAAGTGTTATGTTTTGAATGCTGTTTTTGCATTCGCTTTCACACCCAGTCATTTCAAACTTATTACATGTAATAACGAATGATTAAATAGTGTTTTGCTATCATCTCTGTTAAAACGTTGGGCTTTAGTCTTTAACTATAAGTGCCCAAACAAATGTCTTTTTTACTGTTTGTGGGTCTTTATTTGTGATTTTCTTGAATTTTCTTTGGTGAAATCTTCCAAAATTTTTACAACACATCGCTTCCATCAGGATACGAATTTTAAACACGAAAAAGTAGGGTTTGTAAAGGCAGGTTTTTCGATTTTTTCAAATTTATGTGTTTTACCGCTGCAAAAACTCTGGTCTTATAGATTTCCCTGAAAAACGAGCTCCGACTAAAGTGAAATATTTACTACCAATCTGTTACCAAATTTCACCGAAGGAAACCCGAGAAAATTCACTGTCAGTTTTTCTTTTTGTGCTCATGTTGACGTCAGAAAATATCGAAAAACACTGACGTTTTCCTTCGAGCGCGCGCAGATTACCTGAGCTTTCGTCCTCAGCGCGCGTGCGATCATAAAACTATAGGGAGCCACCTTAAGTTGTACAATGATTACAAAGTAATCACAGAGAGTTGCAACATTTTATTTTTAATTTATCGTTGCATTAATATCTTCAGTCGAGTTCTCTCGGAATTGAGCACTTTTCAAACTGATACTAAAATAGTTTCTATTTCTTTAAGCCACCGTTTTTTTTTTTGTTTTTTTTTTTTTTTTT